AAAAAATAAATAAAAAAAATAAACCAGCACTGCAGCTCCCTCCATTCACAGGCTGCAGGCAAACTGCCTTAACTCGATCCCACTTGTTGGTCCTTTAAGTGTCACATCACTGTGGGGGGGTAAAAAAAGAGAGACTTGAAGCAACTTCATTACAATTGGGGACGCTGCTACACATGCGGTTATTATTAGGATGGATGCCAATTAGCAGCATTTGTCAGCTGGCAGAAGAGGCCCTGGCAATCCCAGCATGTTGAAAGTGTGAGCTTTTAAAGCAAACATCGGGCACCAATTACCAAGCTCCAACAGAGGCCAGAGCCCCACGTGGCAGGTGGCGGCTGGGCTTATAAAAAGAAAAAAAGGCAAATATCAGAGGGAGGAAGAAATCAACTAATGGTTATTTTTTCATTTGTTCAAAAATCAATAATCACACCCAAAACCCCAAGTATCTTCAATTTTCTATGATAAGCAACAGAAAAACAGGACATTTATGAAGCTGGAACCAGTGAATAAATGTTATTAAAATATTATATTCTCATCTGTTAATTCATCAGTTGTCTAATCATCTCAGCATTAAAACACGAACCAGCATCAACAGATGAACAGAGATCACAAGTTTAAACCAAATGGCAGCAATATGTGACCTACAGCAGTGGTCCCCAACCTTGGGGTCGGGGAACCATTCAACTGGGTCAGAAGATTCAATCGTGAAGGTGTACCATGAGATGATTAATCGAACATGGAAGAAAATATATTGTTTTTGCTAAATATAATTAAATACGGCTATAACATAAATGTCATTATACAACACTGTATTCTAAATAAAAATAAAATATCCTTGAATAATTATACATTTTGTGTGACCTTAAAATATAATAAATAATAATAAAATAAAATAATTCTCTTTTCTTGATCCAGATGAGACAGTTTTACAGATCAGTAAAGAACTCACTGACATCTGTAACCCGAGATGAAGGATGCTGCTTTGTTTTCAGCAGGTTGTGAAGGGAACCACTTGTATACACTGTGTAGGTGGTGACAAATGCCGCTAATTGATCTAATATATAATTAACATTTCCTACAGCTCTTTTTTACTTGTTATTTAAGTTCAGAGTAAAAGCCGTTTTCGATTAATTGAATCTCATTCTGTCGACGGGGTTTAAGCTGTCTTTGCTGCTGAAACCTGCATCTCAGAGGGGGAGCCGTGCAGCGCTCCTCATGCTGATCATGTGGTGTGTTTATCAGTGTTGAGCATGAGGCATGTCTGCAGTGCTCACAGGTGTGTGTGTGTGTTTTTGCAGCTGAAGCTCACCTCTGAGGAGTGCTGAATGACACCCGAGCTGTGAGATCTGTTTGCACCTTCATATCGCCGCCTCACAGTTTCCCCCTACCTGCCTGTGTGACACACATTTCCTGTCGTTTTATGACTTTAACATAAGCCGTTAACCGCAGCCAGAAGCCTCTTCTTTTCTTAGCTGCTTTGGGAGCCAATCTGCTTACGGATATCTGTCAAGTCATGCACATGCTCAGAGAACATGTCTCTCCTGCTTGTTTGAAAGTCTCACCTGCCCTAAAAAGAACACATATTCCAAACAGTTCCAGTGTACTGCAGGAACAGGTTCAGCTGACCCACCAGATCTACCCAGAGTAGCCATATGTGTATTTTGTTTGTTGGATATTGAAGTAATTAAGTATCACTGTCACTTTTAATAGGGATCAGCAGCTTTAGGGTGAGCAGGCCTGGCTGAAGCTGCTTATGCACGCCATATGTTTGGCCGGTCGCATGGAGACCCTCAACCCTCAGCCATTCTAACCGGTTTTGCCGGCTTACCGTGGCTTTGGCATCTGTGCAATAAATGTAGGGCATAGCAGTCCGCCCGGTGGTTTAAACTAGTCAGCCCAAGCTGTGACTTTTAGTTGTGTTGCTTTGCTGCACCGTGACACCATCTCTGCATGTCCACGATGAGGCTGAAGTCCAAGAGTAGAGAGAGAAGGGAGAGACTGAGAGAGGAAGAGGTAGGAAAAGTCTTTGTTTTTATATAGGGATGGAGCATTTATTTTGGCTACAGCCGTGTGTTTGTCAGTATGTTTGTCCTGTGATTCCTGTTTGAATTTGAGCTTTTCCTTTAGATGCTATTAGAATGTTTTTCACAGACATTGGACACCGTAAATATTAGCAAAGTAAACATTTATTGGTCATGGCAAATGCTGAAATAGCGAGCTGGTGCAGGATGCGACACAAATGTGGACAAAACAAGAAGTTTTGCTCAAATCTAAAATCTGTCTTGCAGGTGAAATTTGAGGAGTGTGAAATGATTCCAAAGTCAGGAAAATCTCCGGCAGACTCGAGGAAAAGTGTCGGCATTCATGAGTTTGCAGCACTTGCCAGATCCTCCCTAAATGGTAATAACCTGTTCTTTTTTTACTTTTTGTGCTTTCACACTCTGATTTTCTTGAGTCACAACTTCCGACTCTGACCTCTACTTCTGTCTCTCTGTGTACAGGTATCTCTCAGGCAGTGAGGGACCATGTGACGAAGCCCACTTCCCTGGCTCAGGGCCGGGTCGCCCACCTCATTGAGTGGAAAGGTTGGCCCAAACCTGCAGACACACCGCCGGCCGCCCATTCCCACTTCAGCTCCTACTGCCATCTGACTGAAGGAGAGAAGGAGGCCCGGTTTGCTGCAGGTATGCATCTCTGTGACCTTTAGCCATCTGTTTTGTATCCAGCTTTTAATGTATAACTAGCTGGTGTTTGTTTGTGTGGGCATCCTCTTACTTAGCTTGGTTTAGTTCCAGCGTTATCTGCTGGCAGGCTCCCACCTTCTGTCACGCACCTAATCCCCTAAAACTCCTGTATGTCAGCGGTCCGCCCCGCCCACCGTCTCTTGGGTGATGGCTTGTCTTGGCAGCAGATGGTGGCCTATTAGACACTCTCCCAGAACACTTCACTGCCCACCAATGGTACAAGCTCCTGTTGTTTTGCAGTGACTCATCCTCTCTGGCGCCGGTGACATCGGCGTGGTTTGATCAAGAGAGAGAATGAGAGCGAGGGGGAGGGAGGAAGGGTACATAGTGAGTGTACATCATTATAAAGTCTACTGAGTCTCTTAAGGAGTTTTTGCAGGCTTTTTTGGGGGGGGATTGTTTTGCAGATCTAAAATGCCTGATTTCATGGCAGCTTTTCTAAAAAATTGCGCTGCTTCTAGATATTTTTTGCAATGAAATTGTGTGAGAAAGTGTAAATTGCGTAATAGTTGCACTATCTTTGGTATAATTCATTAAAAATCAAAGGGAGCCAGTGAGAATAAAATCACTAATAGTTTGGTGACGTATGGCTCAGTGTTTTGCACGGGGGCACTGCTGTGTCTAGTGAAACTCGCAGGAAACTACAATGATTGGTCACATTTGAGGAAAAAACTGAATTCATGGGTATTGGTTGAATTTGTTTTAATTGTTGAAATAAGTTTCAAAGAACCTCTGATTTATTGGATCTGTGTTCCTGTTAGGAGTGGCTGAGCAGTTTGCCATAGCTGAGGCTAAGCTGCGTGCCTGGGCGTCTATGGATGAAGACGAGGAGGAAGAAGACTCCAACGATGAGGATTCCCACCCCAATGGACAGACTCACACCTTCTCCAGCCAGACCTCAGGTATCCACAGTTGCCTCCATTTTGTTCATTTCATCTCATTTCACGTGTAGTCTTCATTTCTGCATCATCACTGACATAACGCTCATCTTCCCATCCCCTCACCCAATTATCCCCCGATCCCCAGGTGATCTGACTTTTTACTCCTCCCTCAGACGCCGCCACATCCAATCCTATCACAGGAGTGCCATATCAGTCTGAGGTTGATGGCGGGGAGGCACCGCCCTCCGACAGTCCCCTCGGCTCCAGCAGCAGCAGCAGCCTGCACTGTGGTGGGCCTTCGTCTCACAATGACCCACATTCATCCCAGACCAATTCACCTACTTTACCCAGCGACTGCATGAGTCCCTTTCTGGAGGAGGAGGAGGAGGAGGAGGAGAGGCTGGATGGTCACAAGGAGCAGCCAGCTTCTGTGCAGGAGGAGCACAGTGAGGTCTGCATCCACCACAAGCCCGAGTGGAGGCCTCGGGCCAGGAGCAGCAGGTTCGACTCCTGCTACTCCACCTCTCACTCTGAGTCTCCTGGAGAGGAGGACGAGGAGGACGAGGAGGAGGAAGGTAGCGTGTTTCATGATGTCCGAGTGTGGCACTGCAGCCCGAGAAGCTTCTTTTCCGACCGCGCCTCCTCTGGAGTGGCGTCGTTCGATGAAGAGGAGGAGAGGGATGAAGTGGAGGAGAAGATGGAGGAGAAAGAGTTTTGATGTGATGTGTTGTCCATCATTATGTCTCTTTGAGTCTGTGTTGATTCTGGATATGACTTCATCTATTCTGCTTTCACTGTTAACACCTCTCCACCTCGTCCTCTTCTTCCTCCTCTTCTCCTTTCCTTCCTCTGATCATCTCCTCCCCACTCGCTGCCTTCTGTCTCTCATCCTCCAGGCCTTTCATGTACTGATCTCGCTCCACTGTTTATGGCTGCTGTAAACAGTATATACAGTATATATTGGAGAGTTGAACCAGAATGTAAAGCTGTTGTTCAAACTGAGTTTTGTACATTTGTGTGAAGAGTCATGTGTTGCTATTGCATTTGGTTTTTTATGGATATTTTGTAGTGTTGTTTTATCTGGGTCATGCTGTGTCATGTGGGTTGGGCTATGTTTGATACTGAATGTCTGAATGTCCTACATATATAAATATGAGTTTTTTTGAAAGAAGATTTTGTCTTTTTTTCCTTCCGCAAAAAACACAACCTGAACATACGGAAATGAAACACAACTTCTAAACTTACCTTTTAAAGGTGTTTGTGTTTTTTTCAATTTAATCATTCACTCATGTACAAAAACAATTTCATGTTCTCTGAAAAATAACAATGGCTGTTGGATTTCAAATGCATAATTCTCCTATGTACAATAGCATGTAAGTAGATCTCATCCGTGTATTTTCATATGTACAAAGCATATACAGGCCAGTGCTATATAAAGGGAGATACTACAGACTTATTGCTTAACTAGATACGCTGCAAATTAGCTTATACACTCTCTACATTTAACTCCTTATACGTTATCTTATATGGCGAGCACTACTTCACATTCTATATGCAAACAAAAAGTTAAGACGTTAATAAATCGTTGCACAAATGTTTACACAGACAAAAATGAGCCCAAGTCGGTGTGCTGTGAATGATATCACATAAGATTGAAATATGGCTCGAAATTTGTTGCATGAAGCTAAATTACTTGACATCCATTTTGAAGGTCGTTAACAAGGACTCACACACACACTTTGCTCTACAACAGTTTTTGAACTCGTGGGTATCACTGTGCTTCATAACAGTTACATTTCTCAGCATTGCATTAGAGGCCAGGCTGGATTAAGATACGTGTAACATATCACGGTGTTAATATCTACAGGCCGCATACATGTGTGCGTATAAGTGTGTGTGTGTGTATGTGTGTGTGTGTGTGTGTTTGTGTGCTCTGTACAACAGCCAGTATCTTCCTTTTCACCCGGAGCTCAAGTGTTGTTCCTTTATCATGCTAGAAACACGTTAAACACACTAAATTCACATAGCGGAAAATGTAGAGGCAGTTCAAGTGACAAGACTACATTGCCATTATTGAATCAGCCCCTATAAAGCCAAACAAGGCTACATGTGCAGTAAATTATACTCATGGTACTTACAATGTGCTTCATCGTTATTTGGAGCCCTGTACTAAGCCTGGTGGACCTTTGGAAGCTGCCTTTTTCATCATGTTAACAGTAGATCCCAGCTGATTGGGGATGTTCGGGGGCTGATATGGACACCAATATTTTGTAGTAAAATAAAAAATATATGCGGATAATGACATGTTGTGACACTGCAGAGTTGTAAACAATGTCTGGACAAACTAGTGATGACAGTGTTGCTATTAAATAATCTTTTGGTGATTATTACTGTAAATTTATTGCATATCAGCCAACATATAACCAACACCACTATATCTTATTAATATTATTAGCCATTAATTCTGGCCCTCTGATGTATTAGTCCAGTGCTAGTGAATAGGTAGTTTTATTCATACTGTCATGTGCTCATTAGAATAATTTACCATGTCTTTGTTCTTCTGTGCTTTCGTCTCTATTATTATTTGCTCCTTTTATTTTTCCCTGTGGCTTATTTCTCTCCTTGTAATGTTTGAAGTCATGTTAACAGGATGTTATTTTGACATGAAGACTCAAATTATGTTGAAGAATCTGGACCAGATTTGAGCATGGCAAGGAAAGTGTTGAAAAGTGTCTCTCACACACACACACACACACACACAAATGTTCACACACATACACACACATCTAAAAGATGAAGCTGGAAATATTCTATGTTTTTCTTCCTTTCGTACCAAATCAAGAGCTAGTGTTGTGTTTGTAGATAAAGCCTGCTATACTTTATTCTCCTCCACAAAAAAACAATTAAAAACACATTAATGAGCCACGTTGTTGCGCAGGTTGAGATGTTCCTGAAGATGAAGCTGAAAATTGTTTGCCAACAAATTCTTTATTTTCTCCTGTTAGAAACTACAGCATCAGCTGCTTTAGAAAATTATTTAACTTATAATAATGAGCCACGCCGTTGCACTGGGTGACAAGTTCTTTCATCATGATGGATTTGGGCACAATATGAGCACATGTCCCACATAAATAGACTAGATAGAGTGCTGTAAATACTCACTAGAATAATAGATGAAAATAGTCCCCACCAAACGGATTTATTCTAGTTTCGAGTAATATAACCTACAGCACTCAGCTGTTTTAGGAAATTATCTGGCCTTTAAAAAAAATTTAAATTATATTGACAAAATAATCTTGCCTGAAGGTCTATTTGTTTAGTTCTCATGAAATTGAGTTTGAAAGGTCATTCTTGACCTTGGACTCCCCAGTTTCACCTCAACCTTTAAGTCAACGTGGCCAAGAACCCCTTAAAGTATTTTAACATCTGCAATTCCTGAACAACTGAGCAAACTCTATCTGTTAATAAACACCATGTGATATGATTGGAAACTCCAAAAACTGCTATTAAATGGACCTTGTGGTGAGATTCTTTTGCTAACTGCTGTTTCCAATTAACTTCCAAACTCAATTAAGATACAGTATATATTTGTTACTTGTTTTTAAAAGAGATTTATCATTGCACTCCTATAACACTGTTGGCCTTTATATGACTTTACTTCACATTATGCATTGTACCACCCAACACCTGAAGTAAACAGACTTTGATGCGTAAAATTGGTGGAGTTTCCCTTTAAAGATTTAAGTCTTCAACAGGAATGAAAGAGCCACAGACACGGCAGGGAAATCAGATCTTTTCATGGGATTTGTAGACAATAATAAAAACATAGAATAAAACCAGCTTTATCCGTTACGACACATTTTATCTGAGCATTTCCACAGTAACACAATACTAAATGTCACACCTACTCACGCTCACTCTCACTCGCTCACTCACGCCACAACAACATTAGAAACACTGGTATCTAGGCTGGACTTGGAGGTGAGAGTGACCTCTACAAATGTAAGAAACGTCAACATTCATGAGGCGACAGCATGAATCCCCTCTGATCATTTTGGTTGATCCTCAGTGTGAGTGGGGATACCCTCTCCCTCAGGTTCTGATAGGTCCTTGTTCAGAGATGGACTCCCCTGTTCTTCTTGCTCTGTTTCGTCCGGCTCAGGAGTTTGGGTGGGGGGGTCATAGTCACAGGCCAGCTCTGATTCCTCAGTGTGGGAGGGGCTGCAGTCAAAAGTAAACTCAGATTGTTCCTCGGTGAACGAGGGGCTTTCCTGGAGCACTGACTCCGACGACTGGTTTGTGACATCGCCGGGGCTGGTTTCAAACTGCAAATTGGACTGGTCCGAGAAGTTGACAGGGATCTCTTTGTACGCGAGATCTGGCTGCTCCTCCACGTCAGGAGGGTTGGGTTCCCGTGGCAACGAGAGCCCCCTGTGGCGGATGCACAGCTTGTGTAGTTCGGTTACCTCGGATACGCTTGTGCTGTTGCCACAGTCGCGGAAACTGGCCAACGGAGGGCGCACTTTTACTCCTGTCACTGTCACTGAGCCCTCTATGGCCTTCCGCAGCTGGTAGAGAGTCACAGCCAGCAAGGAAAAAAAGAGGTAAAGACAGAAAAAAGGGAAGCATTAATGATACAGAACAAAAAATAAATCACATCAGAAGGAAGGAAGGAATCTCACCTCTTTGAGAGAAACCACTCCAACCAGACGTCCCATGCTGGTCACGTAGGCATGATCCAGACCCAGCAGGGAGAAGATAGTGTGAGTCTGCGGAGGAGGAGAGATGGGTCATGGCCTGGATACAGACTCAGAGAGGGGTTTAATTTGCATTTTGGATCAGGTTTATGGAAACTCTTATACCAGGATCAGACATGATATTTTTTGCCTTTTGATATGGTCACTGTGTCAAACTGGGAAAACTACACTTTAGGCACCAACCATGCATGTAATCACAGCTGTATGGACGAAAGTGAAACTGAAACCATTCAAGGTCAGCCTGCGCCGAAGGCGGGCTCATATTCTGTCTTCCCAGTTGGTAGAAAGAGGGTGAGGATATGGGTGTGCAGCACGCATATGGTGGAATGTTACTAAGTACAATTACTCAAGTAATGTAAATTAAAAGGTCCAGTGTGGGGATTTAGTGGCATCTAGTGGTGTAGTTGCAGATTACAACACTCATGCTTCACCCTCCCCTTCCAAACGTGAAGGAGACACTATGGTGGCCACGAAACGCAGGAAAAATGTAAAAACGTTCCTATATTCAGGTGATTATCCACTAATCCACACAGTTAGAAATATTATATTACATTTCTGCCAATTGATCCTCCTAAATGTTTCACACTGGACCTTTAAGTTCAATTCTGATTCACTGGGATTTTCTTCTACTTTATACTTTACTTCACTAGACTTCAGAGGTAAATATGCAGAGTATTATTATTATTATTATTATTATTATTATTATTATTATTATTATTATAGGTCAGGGTGAGATAAGACTTTATTGATATACTGATTTTTATTCATACCTTATGCAGAGATGTTTGCTCCACCAGCTGGAAGGGGGCTGGATCAATCTTGCAGTTCTTGAAATCCACCGGCTCATCAAGCTGCTGCTCCTCCCACTCAGCTATCTGCAATGGGAAGGATCAGAAGACACTAAAACTTTTAAACTTTGAATTGTAAAATTATTTTTTGTATATTTTCTGTTAGTGTGGTTCTCACCTCTGATGGGGTCATGCAATCTTCCACTTCAGTAGAGTCCTAAAAGAAAAAAATGGAGTAAGACATACATTGTTCTTGTATACACAAACAAAGGTTTCTATACACAAAGTAAGATTGTACACCAAACCTCCAATATGTACACTAAATATAAATAGTGTACCAACGCATACCCATTACACAGAGGTCTGTAACCCAATGAATCACTTATATCTGGAGTTTCTGAGGTAAAGGTGAGCGTTTGGTTTCTTGCTCAACATTGCACCCAGTACCCAGAAACAACAACGTCAATAACACCATTAACTTTAAGAATAAAAGCATCTTAAAAATAAAACACAAAACAAATTCTCCAGAACACACAGTCACACACAGAACAAGCATTAACAGCAGTTTCGAGTGAAAGCTGAGGAAACATTTGGTTCAACACTGCTGTTGAAAAGACAATTACCACTTTCTCTCACACACACTTTCTCTCGCTCTCTCTGCAAAGCCACTCTAATGCTTTGGTTGGTGCACCACAAATATTTTGGTCCAGCACTCACTACGTGTGTGTCGCAAGGCAACGGTTACTAAGCAACAGTCTCTAGGCGGCAGACAATCTTACCGCCATGGAGATCCTCACTCGTTTGGACTTGGGCTTTCTTTTTTCAGGAGGAGCCGGCCCAGCCGGGCTCTTCCAGTCGGGGAGAGAAGGCATCAACACAGCACAACATTAACACAGCATCAGCGAAACTGGACAGTTTTACTCCCTTACATGGTGTCACGGCAACATTGGATCCCAGTCTGACTTCTGCTGGGAGAAGTCCCCATGATGTGAGCACAATGTTGCTGAAAGGGTATAATTACTACACCACAGATGAAGGTGAGGGCACAAAATCTGCACGAGGAACCCAATGTTAATACAACATTGGATTGTAGCTACACTGCCAGAAAAAAGGTGTCTGAACATGCTATATTTGATCATTTTTGATAAGCAAATCCACCCTTTTATGTTTTTTGTTTTTCCCCATGAAAAGCTTTAAAGGTTGAAAAAAATCATCCTTTTCATCATCACTGTCTGAGTGAAAATAACATTTAGATTTTGTTGAAAAATGCATGAGGATGATCTTTCGACTCTCCATCTAACGCCATCATTAGTTATTTGTTAATACTTTAGTTTATGAACAAATCCCTGTGGAAATTAATGCTGTTCCCATCTGCCTCAGCTGTATTGTGTTTAGTGCTAATTAGCAATTGTCCTAACACCCTAAATTAAGATGGTGAACATGGTAAACATTATACCTGCTAACACAAGTGTGAGCCTATCATGACCATTGGTTTGTGGAGTACTTCTTTGAAGCCTCGAGTTTGGCATTATGTGCGTCACCAAGCGGTTATTTCGGACCAGCTGCAGTGACGTACTGAGAGTGGAGTTGCTAATTTTCTGCACTTCAGTTTTGACTCAAATGGAAATATGCTTACATACATTTCCCCAAAACTGATCTTAACATGTAGAAAAACTTATCCATGCATTTGTTACTTCTAGGCTGGATTACTGCAATTCTTTATTATCAGGCTGCCCCAA